TTGCTGGAATGCCGTCCCCGGTGGTTATTTGACTTCGTAAGCACGGATATTACACCCGTTTTTGGCGAAAGTGGTTGTGTCACGGGCTCCGGCCGCTCGGGGGCCAGCACGCTTCCGAGGGGAAAGCGAGAGGAAAAACCTCTTCTTTCAAATTTCTTTCACTTCTTTCAAAGTATCGTTCAGCAAATTCCAAAGGTAGATTTGAGTTCACCGTGCCAAGGGGCGTACAACGGTGTGCACCTCATTCGAAATGGCCGGACTGACCTGTTGACCTTTACTGGTCAGCCTTGTCGCTTCCTTGGTTCAACAGTGGTGGAAAACGGATTTGGCGCCACGCCAAACCCAGCCGGCCTGACACGCCCCATCATCGCAGTGAACGAGACCGCAGATAGACTGTCGAATGTTACAAAGTGTCAAGTGGGCAGAAGGCATGGCCCTTCAGGACACATTTCAGGTAGTGAGTATGAGCGTGAACTGAACTACCGTTTGAGGAAAAAAATTCAAGACGCCGCAAAAGCCCTGAATGAGGCTCTAAATTTCCGAGTAGGACAAGAAGCGACAGGTGGAGAGACACTATGAGCGCAAGCGAGAGACCCGGAGCGAAGTATGAGAGAGCACGAAAAACGGTGAGACGACAGACACGGTCACACACAGGCGGAAGAAATGTCGACCCTATCTTAGTGGAGCCGCTACGTGAAGGGTGGGTTTGCTGCGGCGAAGTCGCAGCTCATCTATGTATAAAAATATCGAAACAAAGTCAGTTCGACAGCAATGCTAAGGGGATTCGCGCAAACCGGTGATGGATACGAACGGGATTGAGTGGACCGAGGAGTGCTTCCTCTTTATTTTTTTTTCGTTTTCCTTTTTTCCTTTTTTTATTTTCCTTCTGTTTCTATGTATGTGTTTCCCTTGCATCTGAATCTTTACTGCCTTCTATCATCAACTGCCGCTTAGCAACCCAAAGAGTGAATGTCACTTTGAAGTTTACTTTCCTTGGGCAGTCTCTCAATGGGCACAGTGATTGACGGGGACTTGTTGGGACCCGTAGTTATTCTCTTTGCCCTTTGGCGAGGCGCTTTGAAAAGCCATCCACTATAGAATAAAACATGAACTTTGTGTTTTGTTATGGAAAATGCTCCGCAACAGCAGCAACACTCAATACTTCGAATGGGTCTCTGCAATTGGTAGAGTTCAGCAAGGGCTGGAGATGAAAGGGCAAGTATAGAGCCAAAATTTCTGAACGAATGGCACTTTGAATAGTCATTATCACTAAATTTTTCAGGACCAAGTCTCTAGGGTGTAGGTCATTTGGTGAACATGCCGCGTTGTGCCGTCTAATTCAGCAATTCGGAATCCACAGAGAACGAGATGAAACTTTGGCCAGAACAGAATAGTTTTTTCTGGCTAGGGACGAACTAGTAAAATCCAAGTTCCTGTCGAGAATCTTACGCAGAAAGGCTACAAAAACCCGGAGAAACATCTGAAATTAGGTCTGTGTTAAAGTCTGAGCCTCACAATCACTCCTAAAGGAATTTGGTCTCTTACAAGGCCTAAGGGACCCTCTCCTTTTGCATGTGCTCGTCTCCAAGGCTTTCTCCACCGACTCTGACACATTGACTTGTAATCTCCCGCAGAGATGCTCATGGCTTGATAATTATGGATTTAGCCTCATTAACCTTTCTCTCTACATTGCGGGTAATGCCCAGCTAATCCTGCAAGTGCTTTACTCTTCGACTGCAAAGTTCAAGAGTATTAGTAGTCTATTTCAAGTGCAGATGACCATAAGTTCTAATAATCCTTTATTCGTGCGCAGTCATAGAAAAAAAAACGAAATCGAGATTTGAATCCTTTGCAACTATTGAGACCATCTATACATTTTCGAGCTCTGAATGACATCTTTGGTTTCATGCTTTCTCTCCAGCACTTGTGAACACCTCTGTCCGAGAGGGGTATACGTGGCACCCAACATGCATTCCCTTTAGTCCATTCTCAGTCCTATCATCATTCCTTTGATGAAAAATAATGCTTTCATAATATACTGATGGTAAGTTGAACCTTCCCTCCTTTGGTGTTAATTATAGCGAGCGACTCGCTAATTAGTCCCCTCAGTACATTAACATTCGGGTAATCAAACTAAAGCAATTGCACGATAACTTGGCATCGCTCAAAATGCAGCAAGGCATTAATACCAGTGGGAAAATGGTAAAAAAAATGAAGCCGTTGAAAACTGCGAAGAAAGGCTTTCGTTTGTTATGAGTCAGAAAGCAATTTTGGACGAGTTCCCTATAGGCAGCTTGCCAACAACCGCTACGGTAGGTACGCATAATGGAAAAAAAAAAAAAAAAAGAAAAAAATAAAAAAAAAAAGCCTCATTATGCAAATCAAAGCACCGCACGCTCATAAAACCAATCCTCGCCATCATATTTTACTTCATAAATGAAGCAATCGAGCATCAGGTACGGTCATCTAGGGCGGGCGGGCGTGGGGGCGTCCGGGTCACTGTGTTGTAGCTAGATAGAGCCATATAAGCGGGACTTCCTGGGGAGGGCCGAAGCATCCGCGCTTGCTCAGGATCCGGATTTCCGTCTGCAAGGCATTCAATCTACTCCTACTTACAAGGAAGGTTGAACTTCCCACATTAACTTTCAATGGAGACTTAGGTACATCGATAGAGCCTCGAAAGCTAATTACGAATATACAGATTAAAAGTGCTATGGGGACTACCCAGACAAGATCTGGGCGGCTTAAAGTTTGCGAAAACTCAGTTTTGGCTCGTAAGGCATTGTTCACACTCTGCGGTCCAGCGTTTCTCTGAAACGCGGCGGTTCGGCGAAAAGCTTTCGATACATATCGACTGGCGGTTGGGCGAAAGGGTTTTGGTACGTATCGACGGGTTTCGCCAAAACCGCGACGTTTTTCGCCTTCCGACGAAAGCTAGCTCCATCTGCGGTGCAAAAATATATATATACCGCCAGCTGAACATCGATTAACACATTACTGGCTTTTTCGCCCCAACCCGCCCAAACTGCGCGCGTTGACGGTTGGGCGATTCTCCATCGATGACTATTAATGCTTTCCCCAACCCGCCGTTCGTCCCAGAGCCTGGAGACTTGCGAACAATACCTAAGCCGCGCTGATCGATCGTCGCATTGCCACCGTGCCATAGTGGTTGATGTTTCGCTCCGAATCAAGATCCTCGAGGTTTGCATCCCGTTTGCGCAGAAATTTGTGGTCCCAGGTCACACAGTAGAACTTTTACCTGCCAATATTTTGTAATTCTTCTGGGCCCAAATCCATACTAGATCGATTACGTCATGTACTTGATCTACTTGATCTGCTTGCTCTGCTGGACCATAAACTCGGAAGATTCGAAAATTAGAGTAAAAGCTCTTATATGAGACGAAGCAAAAATTTTCCCGCCAACGGGATGCAAACCCACGAACACTTGGCTTTGAAGCGAGACCATTTCCACTAGGCCACGGTGGCACTGCCCAACGATCGATCAGCAGCGCTTACGAGCCAAAACCGAGTTTTCGCAAACTTTGACCACCCAGATCTCGTCTGGGAGGTCCCCGTAGCACTTTTAATCTGCATATTCGTAATCAGCATTCGAGGCTCTATCGATGTACCTAGGTCTCCATTCAAAGTTCCATGGGAAGTTCAAACCATTCCCTTGTTAGGAATTTATCGTGCCAACTGCCTTTGAAAAGTCCAAGATTTGAAAACAATATGATGTAGCTCGACAAGCTGACCTAACGGTGTAGGGTGTCCTATATGAATCTGCAAATCTATGTACCGCGCACGAGTCGAGGAGAGACTGATCGCCATCCTCAACACTTCGAACAGGAAGTAAGGATGAAGATGAAAAGATGACTTTCACCGAAATGGTATGGTTCTGCTTTGCTGGATAACTTTTTTTCTCGCAGAATCCGACCGCGTAGGTTTCAACATGTTCGCATGGCTTCAGCCGATTCCCATATTCATGGGAAAATGCACCAAAGTATTTTATTTACTGCGCCGTAGTAAGCAAAGGACTGGCCCTGACCAGTGCGCTTTCGATTATATGAAAGTGTACCGAGCGTCCTCTAGGACTTCACCTTGCCTTCTTGAAAACTATCTGCTGGGACGATGTGCCAGCTGAAAATGGAAGCGATATGTTCAATATATCGGACCAGGCCAAACTATAACGAATTCTAAAATTACTAATTTTAATAATTCGATTTTCAGATGCACTACAAATGCATCGAGGAATTTTAAAACAGTGTGTAATGACGCGTAGCTACGGTAATTGTCATATGCGTTTGTCGTCAGTGATGCAACGTCTCCGGTGGTTCTTCGATGACTATGATCTCTATCCCAGTCGTATGCTTGTCTACAGGCATGTACCAACCCAAAGTGAGTTGAAGGTGATGTCATAATACTGGATTGGGTAGGGCGGGGGAGGGGGGTACATAGAGGAGAAGGAGGGGGGCATTCGCCGGACGGATCTACGAATGCCGAAAAAGGATTAAACGCAAATCTCAGAAAAAGACCATTTTCGGCTCCCCTCTGTAATGTAGTTCACTTGCAGTTTGTACTTAGCCTACACATTGGCAAAGTGAAGTCTAGCCAATGGCTTTCAAACAGCATATGACTATCGAACAATCACAGCCAGACAGTGATGCTTAGCTCTAGCTGTTTTTGGGGGCTGAACTGTCATTGATCATATGGGCGGGATTGGGGTAAGATGATATCGTCGCAATCAGTCGGGGCGGTGTCAGCGAGAGAAGGAATAGGCTCGCCTCCTGCATCGCTTCCCATCAATATCAATCAATCAGTGATCGATTCAATAGGAAAACTGTCAGAGGTGAATGTTCGTAAGCACGCTCATTTCTACCCTCTTGAACTACCGATCGCGACCTCGCTCACGGATACTTTATTTTCGTGACCGTCTTCGAGCGATTTTCGCTCACGGATACGTTATTTTGTGGACCGTCTTCGAAATGACGGCACCGAAGAAGGGTACCAGATCGACGCATGGCTCTTATTAGGGTGTCCACAAAGTTCGTTGGCCATTCGTTTTTTGCAGAGCTTATGAAGATAACTCACCAAGTTGAACTTACCGGTCCATGATATAATCTCCATGCATACCCACCACCTTTCGCCAACGATCGGGTAGAGAGGCAACTCCATCCTCTCAGAAGCCGGCCAGCCGCGACTCGCCCAAGTCCTCGATCACGTCCTCGAGGTCGCGCTCGTTCTTCAGCTGTTTTCCGTCCAGGAAGTTTCGCATGGACCGGAAGATGTGGTAATCGCATAGACTGATGTCCGGGCTATATGGTGGATGCGTGAACGTCTTGATGCCCAGCCTGTCCAGGACGGCCTGAGTATCTCTCGCTTTGTGGGGGCGCGCGTTGTCCCAGAGCAACCACGGATTTGCAAGTTTCTGGGACAAGGCGGCAGCTTTCACCTTGACCTCCTGTAATTTGTTTAGAGAGGGTCTCTGCCGTCACTGTGGCATCTGGTTGGGTAGGGTGCTATAGTGGACGACGCCGTGACGAGAGAACCAGAAACCTCGGCATATCTTCGATGCCATAGTTTCCATTGGTGAAGCGAGTCCCCCATTTTGACATCCAGTTCTTAGAAGGGGTGTTATCACCAAACTGCTGACGCATCCTGGTCGTGGCCTGACGTCTGAAGAGATGTCCAGATTGTAGTAGTCCAGCAACTATCACTCATCTTCACTGCTTTATTGTGGAAAGATCAGGAAAGGAAATTTAGAGCTAGCTAGCTCAGAAGATAGCCCATCGCGAGTACTTTCAGTATTGCGAAACCATTATGCAAAATCACAACGCGTTGCGTAACGCGACGCTGTTTACAAATGGCCAACGAACTTGTGGACACCCTAATATAATTCTGGTTGTCTGTGCCTTGAAAAACTTGTTTTTGTCTGCTCTTCATATTTCGGAATATTTCAGCATTCGAAGTAGTGATCGCTGGACTTTTAATATCATCGATAGTGATGTCATGTGCAGTGGTGGTGACTGGACCATTTTGCTGTCAGAAATGTCGCATGTCAACAACATTTATCGTTCTGCTGACAGGTACATTCATCTGAATGTTGAACACATAAAAGAGGCGCCAAAATTTATTGCGAAAGACTCAAAAGATTCAAAAGAATCCAAAAGTTTTCACAAAAATTTTTTATTGTTAAAACTCCTTCTTCGAATATTTCGGTGCCTAGCACCTCTTCAGCAATCTGAAATACTACATTTAGCCGCCTGCACCCGAATCCTGAACCTTGCCTTCACTGGTGCCTCCGTTCTGGACTCTGATCTGGTCTACATTCATAAATAAACGTTTTCAATTCCATTAGTAGAATCACAGAATCACTTTCACACAAAAAGAAAATGGCTTTTGCAGTGATTTGATATTAGGTCGTTGCAAAAGAAATGCAGGATTTTGCTTGCTTGTATTTCATACTTATTTTATTCCAATAATATGTTACTTTAATATGAAGTGTTTATACTATTCGGAAGCTCATCTCATGCTCTTTCTAAATGATACTCCAAGATTGGTTGTAATTCATTTTATTATAATTTTTATTGACATTTTATTGCAGATGTCGAAACGTGAATTTCGCACTATTTTCTTCTATGAGTTCAAGCTAGGACGAAACGCTGCCGATACAGCTCGGAACATCAACGAAGTTTGGGGTCAAGGAAGTATCAACGAATCTACGGTCCAACGTTGGTTCCAGAAGTTTCGCTGTGGCAACACCAGCCTTGAAGATGAACTCATGTTTGGTGGTCTGCCGCCGGTCTCATCCATCACAGCTTCCTGAATCCTGGTGAAACAATTACGGCAGAGAAGTACTGTCAACAAATCGACGAAATGCATCAGAAGCCTTAACGCATGTGCCCAAGGTTGGTCAATATGAAGGGACTCTACGATTCCGGGATCCGTGTGTTGTGTTTCCACGACAATGCCCGACCACACTTTGCACAATTTACCCTCCAGAAAATAAACGGATTGGGCTATGAAACTCTGCCTCATCCACCATACTCACCAGACCTGTCGCCCACCGATCACCACTTTTTCAAGCATCTGGACAACTATCTTAGAGAGAAAGGCTTCAAAAACCAGACGATGTCAAAAACGCCTTCAACGATTTTGTGGCCTCTAAAAAGAATTACAACCAATCTTGAAGTATCATTTAGAAAGAGCATTAGATAAGCTTTCGAATGATATATAACACTTACATTTATTGGAATAAAATAAGTATTAAAATATAAAAAACAAATCTGCATCTTTCGGCAACGACCTCAATATAAAGGTTCCACTAGGGTCATGGGGGGTGCTAGTGGGCATATACAGTCCTCATCATTGCGGACCGGTGGGGCGTGGCAGTGCGGCTGCGTTTGGTGCGGTTTGGCAAAATCGTTCTGCACCAGTTTTTGAAGCGGGCAAGTGCATTACTGTATTATTCCTTCGTATTACTCGTTTTCTACCACTTTTTGTCGCATACGCGTTGCAACAAAAAAGGCTGAGAACGGCTTCAACAATGTGCGCACTCCTTCTGGCTGACACGCCCCACCGGTCCGCAATGATGAGGACTGTAGTGCATTCCTCAGTGACCTGGCACTTCTTTTTGTCACAGAAATAGGCTCAAGTAAGGCACCATGTCTTCGCCTATACAAACAGCACGGACTGTGCTTTTGGGGTCTAGTACTATAAACTTGAACAACAGCTGATTATGGTATTTAGGTGTCTGTGTTGCAACTGCTTGCTTTGTATACTGGCAAGCTAACCTCGAAGGGCAGACGTTCACACTCCAACATACTCCAGTGCACGATTTATATCCATACGAATATGTGAGTAATGCGCTTTCATCTTCACTAATACTTAAACTCAGTTGCTTTTTGAATGAAGAAAGTAGTCCCAAGCACAACTGTGGACTTACTCGGACAAAGAAACTGGGCACGTTTTGCCTTATGGAGCGTAGTATTTGGCTTGAAAAATTATTTGTTGGTTTCTCCTGTTTCACGCGTGCTGTCCACAACGTTGGCAGACTCCCTTTATAGGGGGTCTCATATTTGCACGTCGTTTTTAGAAGGGGATCATATCTGGGGTTACGAATTCTTTTTCCGTGCGGGAACAGCTTCGTCTGGTGGAGACTCAACTTTCTCCCTTACCCCCACCGCCCCCTTCCACGGTCGCGCCGCTCGACGATGGCTTTCTGGGGAAAAAGGAGAAAAAATCCTGCAAAACTCGGAAAAAACGCCAAGAAATAGGGAAAACTCAGTGGTATATTCGGTAAGGTTGCTGAAGAGGGGAAGAAAGTTCGGGGGAAGGGGTCGTATTCCCCTGAAGGTTTCCCCAGCAGCAAGAAGTATCCTCAAACAAATGATGGATCGTAGTTTGTACTCTTGTTCTCTTATGCCTCAAGCATTTTAAGACTAAACTTCTAGTTTCCTGCATACTATGGGAAAATTATTGGTGGATTTTCAAAACAGAAGTTTTTGGGGTATGAACACGATTCGGTTTGAGAGATATTTCAGCTGTGCAGTTGATGTGCAGAATTCTGAACCAACTAAAGCTATGTTTCCGCTGTACCTTTGCGAAAATTCTTCAACAAAACCCTAGCATGTCCTCCAAGAGCATTTTCCGTTGAATTGAAGCTCATCTTTCCATCGACACGTCTCGTCTGTAGATACGCGAGGCATTTGTCTCTTACTCCTAATCCCAAAGGTAGTTGCCTGGTGGCGCGTCCACAAAATCGTTTGATTTTGCGGGGTGGTGTGGCTCCTAGCAGGGTACAGCATAGGGATAGGCGAAATGTCGGTGTGAGTACTACCC